GGGGCGGCCTAGAGCTCAGCCGGACAGCTTGTTTTTTCTGGGTCTTGAAAGTTTCCTGACTTTGACGGGGTACAGTCTGACTATTCAATCACTCTCTTATAGTGGACCATCTTTGAGGTTTTCTTTTTTGACAGATTTCCACCTTCCACAGTGTCTTGCTTTCAGGGCTGTGTTGTAATGACTTATACCTCTTGGGCTGCCAACTTAATTGGTTTATGTTGGTCTCTGGGTAGAGCTAATTCCTAGGATGACTTGCCAGGGTGAAGGGGACTTCCAACTGTCCTCAAGAGTGACTTTGTGATTGTGGAAAACATTAAAGACAGACAGACAGCGGGGCTTAGGAGCTCCTCGTTCCCTGTCAGGACTGAGAGCCTGAATGTGTTTTCCAAAGGCTATATCTAATGGGGTTTGCAGATCTTTCATAAGGCACGCATGTCGTACAGCTAACATATGACATAGTTGATAGGTAATATGATAAGTGGATAACCTAATAAACCAGCAATGAGGTGAGTCTTTGTCTTGACTTAGTGCTAGTTGACCTTGAACCCCGCTGAGCAAACAGGGGTTGCTACATTTATGGTAGGTTGGCTATAGAACCTGATTGCTTTTATCTACAGATAACCTTTAGGCATTGTGAAGTTGCCAGACACAAATGATTCATCTTATATGATTCTCTTATGGGGGATATTAGAGTGACCGTGTCTACTCATGAGAATGTATATTAAGATTTATTTATATCTCATAACGGTGAGTCTTCCCCCACCAGAGTCAGCTTTCAGGCCCATCATCATGAGCATGGATGATGTAGCTGAGAATGTATTACAGCTGCCGCTGCTGTGGCGGGATGCTTGCCTATGGCCTTTTCCTGTGTGTGGTTCCAAAGGTCAGGAATCGGAGATGCCTAGTTAGTTCCTTATCCTCACATCCAAATGTTAACTTGTTGCAGAATACACAAGGGAGCTTCCAAAAGTTTGCGGAAAAGTTCCATTTTTTAAAAATTCCATTTTTCTACGAACTATTTGAAGCCTTGCATAGTCCCACCTGAAGTAGATGTTACGAATGATTGCACAACTCGTTTTTAAGATGAATGAACTATTGATTTGTATGATATATATGAATTGCATACAGTAAAATGGTTAAAAATGTTTTAAATAAAAGTTTATTTTCAAGAAGTCCTTGCCAAAGTAAAAAAAAAAGAACATTTATGTTTATATATATGTATATATAGACCCATACACACATAGCACTGTGTTTTCAAAATGCTACAAGAGTTGTTTATTAACATACTTTTAAAAAATGAACATATTAGCTTAGAATCTCAAGGTTCCCATTACGCTGAATAAATCACTAAGCTCCGACCCGATCCCAATCACTTTTTCCACCTGAAACCAAGGGGACCATTGGAAATGTTGTGTCCATATACGTAAGGGCAGTCATGAAAACTGTCATGTAGAACAAGGGATGAAGACATGTAATTTTACTGTATCTTTTCTGTCATTTCTGGAAGCTGCCAGCAGAACCATTAAGCTCTGGTGCATTGTGGTTCTTGTTAGGTACCATCAGGTTGATTTCAGCTCAGAGCAGCCCACCTGACAGAGTGTCACTGCCCCATGGGCTGTCATCCTGTGGGAACAGCTCTCCAGGCCTGTCTCCTAGGTGGCCGCTCGGTGCATTGAATCACCAGCTTGTCAGCTAGCAGCCCCGCACATAACCACAGCACTACCAGGGCTCCTGGAGCTTTGGCCTAGCAACAGTTAAACTGTGGTGTCAGGGTGAAGTGTATCACCTTAGCTTCCTATCTTTATGATCTTTTTAATGCAGTATTTGATATAGAGAAATAGAATATTTGATGTCCACAGAAATTTCTAGAACGCAAAGGCACTCATGGAGATTTATTTCAAACATATTTTTCACAGCCTGGAATTGAACCTGAAGTCAGAAGGAAGCTTGGAGAAGCTGCGGTCCGAGCTGCGAAGGCTGTAAATTATGTGGGTGCAGGTATGTTAACGTTTGTTTCTGGAAGACAAGAAGAAACAGTAATCCCATGGTTTCTCAGAAGACCAAAGCCACGGACCGTATTTAAACCCATTGTTCTCAAACATTTGATCAGGTCCACAGTAAAAAGTTTATTTCATATCAAGACCAAGTATATACATGTAAGTGTGTGCTTATATCTAAAGACAGGGCTTCAAGGGTTTGTGGAAAACAATCGAGAGATACTGGAATTTTTCCACAGACTTTTTGAAGCCTCCATCTATTTGACATCGAACAGCATTTACCCTAGTTATGCATGATGCTTTTTGGTATTTCAAAATAAATCACCAAGTTGATTTGTACGATCCACTAGTAGTTGTGACCCACAATTTGCAAAACACTGAAAACCATATGTGGAATGGACTTTAAGCTCTGTGAAAAAAATGTAGAATACTTTGTGGCGTATGATTTCGTGTGAATGAAAATCCTAAAAAAAGCAAAATGAAAGTGACAGGAAGCTTGGGACCAAGTTTCTGGGGAAAGACTGACTATAACCGGGAACACAGGATCTTTTTCGGATGATGGAAGCATCCGCATATTGACGGTGGTAGTGGTCACTTGACTACACTTTTGCCACAGTTGAGCACATTAGCATGAACCAGTGGGGCTGAAGGAAGAAGTCTAAGCTGCACTGAAAGTATTAGCCAAAAACAAGGCTCCAGGAATTGATGGAGTTCCCATTGAAATGTTTCAACAAGCCAGCAAAGCACTGAAAGCACTAGCTCACTTACACCAGGAAATCCGGAAGACAGCTACGTGGTCAGCCGACAGGAAGAGATCCGTATATGTACCCATTCCAAAGAATGGTGACCCAACAGTATGCTCGAATTGTAGAGCAATACCACTAATAATAACACATGCAAATAAAATGTTGCTGAAGATAATCTAACAAAGGTTGCAGCAGCATATTGTCAGGGAGCTGCCAGAAGCTCACGCTGGATTCAGAAGAGGACATGGGACAAGGGACATCATGTGGATCTTGACTGAAAGCAGTGAATCCAAGAAAGATGTGTATTTGGGTCCTGCTGACTATGCTAAGGCATTTGACTAGGTGGGACCTAACGAACCATGAATAGCCGTGAGAAAATGGCAATCCCAGACCACTTCATTGTGCTCCTGCAGAGCCTGTACATGCACCAAGAAGCAATTGTGCAAACAGAACAAGGGACTCTACTGCAAGGTTTATCATCAGGAAAGGCACGCATCAGGATTGTATCCTTACACCATACGTATTCCATCTGTATGCTGAAGCTGGATTATATGAAGAAAAATTCAGTCTTGAATTGGAAGAAGGTTTATTAACCACCTGTGATATGCAGATGATACAACCTGAAAATGAGGAGACCTTGCAGCACTTGCTGATGAAGATCAAGAATTGCAGCCTTCGGTATGGATTACAACTCAGTGTGAAGAGAAGAAATCCTCACAATGGGACCAATAAGGAGCATCATGGTAAATGGAGAAAAGATTGAAGTTGTCGAGGCTATTGTCTTGCTTGGATCCATCATCAGTACTCATGGAAGCAGCAGTCAAGGTCACATGATGCGTTGCGTTGGGTAAATGGATGTTACTTTGAGGACTGTGGTGGGCCTGACCCAAGCTGTGGTGTTTTCGGTTGTCTGCTGCGCAAGGGAAAGTTGGGCACTAAATAAGGAAGGCTGAAGAGGAATCCAGGCACTTGATAACAGTGCTGATGAAGAATGCGGAAAGTACCAGGGACGACCAAAAGGACCAACAACTCTGTCTATGAAGAAACACAGCCAGAATGTTCCTGTGGCATGGCTGGTGAGACTGTTTCATGGCCTGTGGCCCTGGAGAAGAGGGCCGGTGAAAAGGATCAGTTAGCACAGTGACGGCCACGGTGGGCTCACACCAACAGTGGTGAGGAGGGCGCAGCACAGGACAGGGGTGTCTAGTTCTGTTGTGCACAGGGTCTCTCTGCCCAGAGCCAACTCGATAGCACCTCACAACAGCACTTAAAATGGTTTCGTTTCTTTGGCTTAAATTATATCTTAATAAACCTGAGAGAATTTTTCCTAGGGCTTTATAGAATGCTAATAGATAAATATTGGCATAAAGTAATCAACAAAAACATACTATCGAGTTACTGCCAATATATACTGATCCCATATAGAATCTCCGAGATGGGTACAGACAGCCTCAGCTTTCTCACACTGAGCAGCAGCTGGTAGGCTTGAACTACCAACCTTGTGGTTAGCAACAGAACAACACCTAACCCACAATGCCACCAGGTTCCGTAAGGTGTCAACATGCACTGTCATTGAGCCGAGTCCTACACAGTGACCCTACAGGCCAGGGTGGAGCTGGCCCTGTGAATTTCCAAGACTGTAGCTCTTTATGGGAGTAGAAAGCCTCATCTTTCTCCCACAAAGCAGCTAGTGGTTTCAAACTTGTGACATTTTGGTTAGCAGCCCAGTGCGAAACCCACCAAGGAACGTATGAGGGAACTTCCGAAAGCACACACATTGGGGGCAGGGGGTGATTTCTCTCTTTGTCCTCAAGGTTAGAGTGAGATCAGGTGCCTGCCACCTGTGAGGCTGGGACCCTCTGGGGGACCTCAGTGCACTGAAGCAGTGACCCAGCTCGGCCACATTCTCACTTCTGTGACAGCTGAGCCTGATGCATAAAGCAGGGCTTACCATTTGCTCGAAACCTCAAATAGACTTTTCTGTTGCTCAATTTCATGTATGTCTTTTTTTTTTTTTTGTGGCACATCCTATTTTTGACAGAATCATTTGCTGCAATACATGAGATGCTTCTGAGGTGCAAAATGGTTAGCATTGAATGAAGGCTGCAGGAACACTTGATGTAATACGCCCTGGGTGATTTTGATTGGCTACTGATTAAGCACCCTCGATAATGTGGCCTTTATCTTTTATCTTGCAGGAACTGTGGAGTTTATTATGGACTCAAAGCACAATTTCTACTTCATGGAGATGAACACAAGGCTGCAAGTAGAACATCCCGTTACTGAAATGATCACAGGAACTGACTTGGTAGAGTGGCAGCTTAGGGTGAGAGAAGTTTGTTCTTTTTTTCCTCTTATAGATCGATCTTGGAAATCAATTTGTTTATGGCCTCTTAAAATAACACATCATTTTCAACCAGGATTCAATTCTTGATGGTTTTGATGAGGACAGAAATCAAATGGGAAGTTCTTACTCTGTCACTTAATCCACTGGTCTCCCTCAAGCAGCGGGGTAGACTGCCACCAGAAGGCTATGAGGCTTAAGTCATGACCACAGCATTTTATGACAAAGTCTCAGCTTCTACTTGAGGCCACCTAATTCCAAGGCGGGCCATCATGAGATGGTTGAGGCAGGACAAATGCTCATGAAGGTGATTTGAGATACACACTGAACCGTATGTCCTAACCTAAGAACAATCCGTTCTTATGAGGCAGCTCTGCTGGATACTTACCCACAGGAAGGGATCACCAAAACTCTCAGTGCTGAACCAAAGTGTGATGAAGAAACCAGATGGTGCCCAGCTGCCAGAAAAAATAGTGTTCGAGCGACTTCAACGCTTATCTTAAAACAAGCAGCCGTCTAAGTGAGGTATCAGCTAAGTCCACACAGCAGAAACACACGAGTCTGTATTGTCCAATGTTTGTGACTGACAAAATCAAGATAGAGGAAGTAATTTTAATAGAACTTATTCTGAACACACAGTTGGTAGAAGGCATCAAAAGGAGATTGAAAGAATACACAGAGTACTAAAATAAAAAGAACTAGTTGATTTTTCTATTTCAGGAGGTAGCCTATGAACATAAACCAGATGGTACTGAAGGAAGAAGTTCAAGCTGCACTGAAAGGATAGGCCAAAAACAAGGCTCCAAGGATTGACATATTATCAATTGAAATATTTCGACAAGCTGATGAAACACTCACTCATCTACACCACGAATTTGGCCAACTGACTGGAAGAGATCCATACTTGTATCCCTTCCAAAGAAAGGTGACCCAAGAGAATGCTCAAACTATAGAACGACATCATTGATATCACAAGCATGTAAAATGTTGCTGAAGAGCATCCAATAATAGTGCAGCAGTACATTTACAGAGAGCTGCCAGAGGTTCAGGCCAGATTCAGAAGAGGACATAGAACAAGGATATCATTGCTGATATCAGATGGATCTTGGCTGAAAACAGAGACTACCAGAAAGATGTTCATGTGTGTTTCGTTGGCTATGCCAAGGCATTCTACTGTGTGAGTCACAACAAATGATGTAGAGCCTTGAGAGGAATAGGATGCCCAGAAACTTCATTGTACTCTTGCCGATCCCACCTGTGGATCAAGATGCAGTTGTGGGAAGAGAACAAAGGAATACTACTTGGTTTAAAATCAGGAAAAGTGTGCATCAGGTGCATATACGCTCACCATCCTTGTGTAATCTGTATGCTGAACAAATCATCAGAGAAGCTGGTTTATGTGAAGAAGAATGTGGTATTAGAATGGGAGGAAGGCTTATTAACAACCTTAGACATGCAGGTGACTCAACCTTGCTTGCTGAAAGTGAGGAAGACTTGAAGCACCCGCTGATAAATATAAGGATTGCAGCCTCCAGTATAAATTACAATGCGATGTAAAGAAGACTAAAATCCTCACAACTGGACCAATAAGGAACATCATGATGAACAGAAAACAGATCAAAGTTGTCAAGGATTTCATTTTGCGTGGATCCTCAATCTATGCTCCTGGAAGTAGCAGTCAAGAACTCAGATGACACATTGCATTGGGTAAATCTACTACACTAGTCTTCTTTCAAGCGTTGAAAAGCAAGGATGTTACTTTCAGAAGTATCTGACCCAAGCCATGGGATTTTTAGTTGCCTCCTGTGCATGGGAAAGTTGGACATTGAATAAGGAAAGCTGAAAAAAGAAAATCAATGCATTTGAACTGTGGTGTTGGTGAAGAATATTCAAAGCACCACGAACTGCCAGAAGAACAAACTTCTTGGAAGAAGTACAGCCAGTAGGCTCCCAAGAGGCAAGGACTGTGAGACTTCATCTCCCTTACTTTGGACATTATTGGGAGAGACCAGCCCCTGGAGAGGGACATCGTGCTTGGTCAAGTGTAGGAGCAGCAGGAAGGGGGAAGGCCCTCGATGAGATGGACTGACACACTAGCTGCAACAATGGGCCCAAGCATAAAAGCAACGATTGGTGCAGAACCGAGTGGCGCTTTGTTCCATGTGACACATGGGTCCTATGGATGACAGTGAAAGCCCAACATTCGCCAGAAGAGTCCCCCGAGGATTGAGCCTCCACTGAATTCTCTCAGACCATTGACCAGCCAGGGGAATCTAATCGCCTTTCCCTCCAACCCAGTACACCAGAAACGCAATGAATGCAGATAAGTGAGCTTAAATTTTAACAGAGGAATTTTTAAAATTGCTTTGATTCATTTTTAAAATTCATTTGGTTTTTTTTTTTTACATCCTTTCATTAGGATTGGGATTTTTCTGTGTTTTATTTTGTCACTGTTGTGGAAGGACATCTTTATATGGTTTTCTTTAGATGAAATCCAGGCTAGGTCTATCTATAGAGACAGTAACTGGATTCATAGTTGCTTAGCATTAAGAAAGGAGAGATTTGGAGAGAATGGGGAGCTAGTTAAATGAATGCAAAGTGAAGAAAACAATCTAAAATTTAATGTGGCTATGATTGCACAACTCTTTTTAATATATTCAGACCATTGAATCGTATGGTACATGAATTATATGTCAACCAAACTGTAAAAAAAAATTAATAAATTGAGAATTAAGAGCCAAAGGAAGGTCTAGCCCAGCAGAGGATCTGCATACCAATGTTGACCCACAGCCCTGTTATTGACCCATGATAAAATAAGTATAGATAGTCAAAGTACATAGTTAGAAACTCTTAAAGCATCTTGACATTGCTCTGGCATGGTTGGTGTGTGTGTTAGTCTAAGTAACCAGGGAAACAAATCCACAGAAAATCACATGTATAAGAGAGAGTTTTATATAAAGGGTAAGTGCACATTAAGAAAGCATCCCAACCCAGTGCTGTCCAATCCCATAATGCCAACATTAGCCCATATGTCTGACACCAATCCTCAAAGTCCTCCTCCATCTCACAAAACACACGCAATGATGCTGACTGCAGGAGGAAAGCCAAGTCAGTGAAGGTGTAAGCATCTCAGTGCTGGCAGGGATCTCCACGGCTGCTCCAGCACCCAGGGCTGCATCGGGGTAGATCCATGTGGCTTCTCCACAGGGATGTCTCGCAGGAAGTGAGCCTTGCCAGCTGAAGCAGGGAGCTGGCTATAAGGCAGCTGCACCCCGGTCCCACCATCAGAGAACAAGAGACCAGAGAACTAGAAAGGCGAGGCTCACTGAGCCATTTATCTCTCTGTCCTTCAATTAATTCCACCTGTGTTTATTGGCCAGGTTGGCACAATAAACCTTAACTCTCAGTGTGCTTCACAAAGTATAGTCCAGAACTTTTTCTTTAGATAATTTGAGACACTGGTTTAAGTCAGATTTCCACAAAGCACATTCCATGTTATTGTGTAGAAGACCTGGTGATCTTGACATTTTTGCCTAAAATTGGCTGCAGTGACAATCACAGAACTTCTGTGGGCGACTCTGGATTTCCTTTTGCTGGCTCCCTGGGGATGGTGGCTGGTTTTAATTGGGCCAGAAGATTCTCCTGAGCCTCCCTTGGTAGGCTTGGGAGCTAACGAGACACAGGCACAACAAGCCGGACGCGTCAGTGTCAGGAAAAGTCTTGGTGGACTGGTACAGCCCTGCCCAGAATGCTTGTTTCCAGAATTCAAGGAAAAGAAGGTGTTTTGGTCTTGCTTTGTTTGTTTTATTTTTCAAGCCATAATCAGAAGAGCACAGAACTTCTCAATCGAGAACGATGAGTGGCATTTAAGGGTCAAGGAAACCATAAGCTTTTGGATGTTAGTGGAAACAGTGGATTTATTTCTGAAACCCATGAAATTAAAAGAGGCTGGCAAAGCTCCCCAGAGAGAGGGCACTTGGAACAATTCCAACTCATAGCGACCCTGTAGGACAGGGCAGAATGGCCCCTTGGTTTCCCAAGGCTGTGATCTTTATGGAAGCCGGCTGCTAACATCCTCAAAATACCAAGCTTTGCACGACAGCTGAGTGCTTCACAGTTGTGCCACCGGGGCTCCTTCCAGAAAGAGGAGGAGGCTTTTTTATTAAAAAACAAAACAAAACGTGTCTTTTTCCACCATATCGGAGCCTGTGGAGGCCTGCTGGGAACAGGACTTCTAAACGGCAAATATGTCTGGGAGGCTGTGGTCCAAGACCATTTTTCCTGGCTATATTCACCGGGGTCTCCAGAACCAGAGGAAGTATACTGCTCTTCTTAAAATTGAAGGTGTTTACACCCGAGATAAAACGGAATTTTATTTAGGCAAGAGATGTGCTTCTGCGTACAAAGCAAAGAACAACACAGCGACTCCTGGCAGCAAACCTAATGTTTAGCATAGTGGCCATGTGTTGGCCTGCTAACCACAAGACCAGGAGTTCAAAACCACCAGCCGCTGTGAGGGAAAGGGGGGAGGGTTTTTATACCTGTAAGGAGTTAGTCTCAGAAACCCCAAAGGGCAGTTCCACCCTGCCCTACAGGGTCGCTATGAGTCACCGTCAACTCCATGGCATGAGCTTGGTTTTCGTTTTTGGCAGAGGGATTCCAGAGATCCGAGGGCGCGAGTGGACACGGTTTGTAGAGTCCAAGGCCGTTTGGCATCCAGCTTCCACGCAGAGGGAGAACTAGAACCGGAGCATTTGTTACTGCAGTGAGCCATGAACTCCAGCTCCAGGCCCTGTCTCCATGGCCAGAGGCTTTTCTGTGTGAGGGTCCAGGAGAGAGGCTGCAGCTGCAGTCCGTCAGCAGTGTCCAGGTGAACCCAGTGAGATTGAGAAAGAGTCCGAGTCTAAGCTTGAAAGGGGTGGAGCCCTGGTAGCTCAGTGGTTAAAAGCTATTCGTTGTGATTCAAAAGGTAACAAGTTTGAATCACCAGGCGCTCTGTGGAAGAAAGCGATGGCAGTGTGCTTCTGGAAACTAGTTCTCAACCTTCCTCATGCCGTGACCCTTTCATACATAGTTCCTCATGTGGAGGTGACCCCCAACCATAACATTATTTTCGTTGCTACTTCATCACTGTCATTTTGCTACTGTTATGAATCAGGCCACCCCTGTGAAAGGGTCGTTCAGCCCCCAAAGGGGTCGCGACCCACAGTTGAGAACCGCTGGTCTACAGCCTTGGGAACCTGGTGCAGTTCTATCCGGCCCCATTGGGTTGCAGTGCTTGGGAATTGGCATTGGGTTTGGTCAGTTTTTAAGCCAGCGAGAACTCAGGTGCACAGACCTCCAGGGCCCAGAGAGACATGGTGGGGCCAGAAGCAAGCTCAGAGGAAAGTAGACAGGCGATGGAAAGCCAGGTCGAAAACGGACTAACTAACCAGAAATAAAATTACAGGTTGAAAGGTGAGCATCCTTTTCTTCTTTTATATTAAAACAAGTCGATGTCCTTAAGAAAATATTCAAGTGTTTCACTGTAAGAGACAAGAAGGGAAGAATGACTAGCTATTACCCACACTCACTGCCATTGAATTGATTCCAATTCATAGTCACCCTGTATAGCGTCTGCTGGGATGCAGGTCTTTACAGGAGGGAACAGCTAGGCTGAACTCTACGCCGCCGAGTGGCTGGTGGTTTTGAACCACCGACCTTGCAGTTTGCAGGTCCAACCCAATAGCACCACCGGGGCTCTTAGGTAGTGCTTGCTGTAGGCCAGGCACTTGTCTGTCAAACAGAGGCAAACAAGGTTGCCCAGGTCACAGAGTAGCCAGAGAGACAGAATTTAATCCCAGGCCATGTGGCAGCAGAGTCTCTTGATTGAAAACACTGGCTTTAAAGGCCTGCAAGCGAGTCCCTTGATCGCTCACAACTGCTGTGTTCCAGAGCTTTCTGACAAATTCGAAGGGAGGGAACCCTGACTCTGTTTCATGTTCCTCTTGGAGCTCAGTGCCATGCTAAGTTACTTAGGAGGCGTTTGTTGTTGTTGTTGCTGTTTGGGGGTGGTGGTGGTGTTATTTGTTTGTTTCTGTATATTTATTGCTATGGCAAATTGTCATTTTCTCCTCTTAGAGAATGACTTGCAGGGAAGCGTTAAAAGGAGACAGACAGTGTGCCCTCCGGTCACCTTTTTCAAGTGACAGCAGTGGAAAGGCGAGCGTTGTCATCTTGGTACCTGTGGCCAACTTCTGTGCGTAGGCTCCGTAGAAAGAAACGATACTAGTCATCCATTTGAGTGCCTGGTGCCGTGCCCTTGTGGTAACACTGGATGTCTGCCAGGCTCGCCTCTGTTCTGCGCCCTCACTCGCTTACTCACGACGGAAGACCGGAGGGGGGGGTGCTGAAGCCGCCTCCGCTGATAATTTACTATCAAAAGGTTGATTTGGAAATGGAGTGCTGATGTTTCTGATGGAAATGGAGGCTTTATTGCCAGTAAAACAGCTTGGCCTTGATGATGCCTGTATGTGACCAACTCGAATCTTTGTCTTCATTATCTAGTCACCGGTTTGCCTGCTTTCTCCTTTTAAAAATCCCAGAAACCTGCACTGGAATTACTCAGCTATTCCCAGGCGGCATTGGTTTGTCTTTACCCCATTCTTGTTTCGGCCTAATGCTCAAGTAGGCAGAGCCAGTCACACGTTCCCGGGGCTCCGTTTGCAACCCAAATGTCTGTTTACCGGGCCAAGGCTGGCGTGCTGACTGGCACATCCTCTCCTCTTAACCAGGTCGCAGCAGGAGAGAAGATTCCCTTGAGGCAGGAAGAAATCACTCTGCGGGGCCATGCCTTTGAAGCTCGGATATACGCAGAAGACCCTAGCAATAACTTCATGCCAGGGGCCGGGCCGTTAGTCCATCTCTCCACGCCGCCAGCAGACCTTTCCACTAGGATCGAAACGGGAGTCCGACAAGGTAAAAGTAGTGAATCCATGTTTCTCGGGGGCAGTCTTGTCTCTGAGTCGTGCAGAAATGTCCAGCATTATGGCTGTCCTCAATTGTTAGCCTTTATCTGTCCTTCCGGATGGTTACTTTAGAGAATGACTGGGTGTTCATAAACAGCGCCCTCTTGTTTTGAAATGCAGTCGTACTTTGTCAACACAAAGCAAGAAATATTCTGAGTTACTATTGATTTTTTTTTTTTAACGTTCCTCGCTCCAGATAGGACTGAAGGTGACTACTGCCTATGCAGTGGTTCTCAACCTGTGGGTCATGACCCCTTTGGGGATCAAATAACTCTTTCACAGGGGTCGCCCGATTCATAACAATAGCAAAATGACAGTGATGAAGTAGCAATGAAAATAATTTTATGGTTGGGGGGGTCACCACCACATGAGGAACTGTATGAAAGGGTCGCAGCATTGGGAAGGTTGGGAGCCACTGGTCTACTGTGTTCAAGGCTCTGTCTTGCAGAGACTGAAAGTCCAACTGGAGAATGAAGGTGTAAGCTTACTATAGGCTGGAGAATGAAGGTGTAAACTTACTATAGGCTGGAGAACGAAGGTGTAAACTTACTATAGGCTGGAGAACGAAGGTGTAAACTTACTACAGGCTGGAGAACGAAGGTGTAAACTTACTATGGGCTAACCCAAGCGAACAGAGCCGGCGTGGCACGGCGGGCACATGGTTGACAGCCAGGGTCAGCAGCAACCATTCTGCAGCCCGCGCTATGTTTGCATGTGTGGGCTCCTTCAGCCATCAGAACTGCCCTAGGAGGAGGCGTCGTTCACCTCCCCATTTTAGAGCTGAGGAAACTGAGGCACAAGGAAGTGAAGTGACGTGCCCCAGGTCATCCTTGGAGGCAGGATTTATAGCCAGGCCGCCTGGCTGCCGAGTCAGTGATCAGGGCCCCCACTTTCTGCAGCGGACTCGCTGTCAGCTGCCAGAGGAGTTGTGCAGATGGAGAGTGCTCGCATCTGGAAGTTCTCTGGGCGCAGGCTCTGTCAGGCTGCTGGAAGCGGACAAGTTTAAAGAGGAGTGATTGACTGGTGAACGAGATCTGAGTTAGCAGACACGTGTCAGGTTGAGGAGTGGGGGCTTTGAAAAGTTTATGGGACAACGCACATAGATGATAATAGACTTTTGTCATGACGTTTTTTTAAGCCCTCCCTCATATAACAGTTTAAGAAACGCTGATGAACCAAGAAAGCTCAAGGTCCGTTTGAGGAACTGCAGGGAACCTGGTGTGGCCGGCATGGCGGAGGGCAAACAGTGTGTGTCCGGAAAGCCAAAGGGAAGATTTCGGATTCTGATGACCAATTGTCATCGTCTGGCAGTCTGGCTATGTCACAAGGAGATGTGGTCATTTTTTATGAATGAACAATAGAACAGAGAGCAAAGAGAGTCTATGCAGCAGAGAAGGAAGGAGGGGCTTGGGTGCAGTGTGGTTACAGTGCAGTCATCAAAGGCCAGCAGAGAGGACCTTTGGAGGCAGACTCCCCGGCTCGCCTCTTCTCTGATCCCCACTTACCTCGTGCTGCTCTCAGCAGCCCCCTTATCCGATCATAATCTGTTACTCCCTGTCTGGTTTCCACATTAGATCATAATATTTTTAAGGAAGCAATCAGGCCTTGCTCAAAGCATTGGCCTACTAAGCTATTCAGTATGTGTTGGTGAGTGAGTGGAGACAGGGAGAAAGGAAAGAGTATAATCCAGCCCCTTAATTGTATAGGTGAATCCCATGGGGTTTGCAGAGGTCATGGCCTGTCTGAATCAGGAAAATATCTCAATAGAATTCCTTATAATCTACCTCATCCTGGTGACAGGAACCATTTCTAACCATCGGAACATGCGTGGGGGCTAGATTCTTGTTGTCTAGGTCTCTACCCATCACATCAGTGACAGCTACCACTGGTTTGGTGGCTCTGTAGCTATGACACTTGGCACTCACCAATTTTCCAGATAATCCTCCTGGGACTCGGTTAGCAGTGAGGAGACAGAGAGCAGAGAGAAGGGAGTGCCCAGGGTCGAAGAGAGAGTGCTGTGAGAAGGTAGAGGGAGTGGGCACAGCCCCACAATGAGAAGGGACTTCCAGAGGAGCCGGTCAGGAGAAAGCTCATCCTGCATCTGAAGGCCCAGCTCACTTCGGCAGCCACACCCTCCTTAGACTGTGGGCACATGGTTAAAGCCCCTCTCTGCCTCATTTTCCTCAGGAACAAGATGGCGATCATGGCAGCATCTTCCAGGAGTTTTGCTAAGAGTAATTGAGAAAATGTACCTCCAAACCCCAGCAGAATGTCTTGCTGGTCACATGTGTTTGGCTTGTATGTTATCCCCCCTCAGTACTGACTCTGAGCCGTTTCGGTGCCCTTTCAATTCCAGGAGATGAAGTGTCAGTGCACTATGACCCCATGATTGCGAAGCTGGTCGTCTGGGCCGCGGACCGCCAGGCGGCCTTGACGAGGCTGAGGTACTGCCTCCGCCAGTACAACGTGAGTGACCCGGGCCACGGCAGTGCCCTCTAGTGCTTGCTGGGTTTCTGCAGCCACGCCCCGTCCCGTGGGTACCACTTGCCATTGTCTTTGTCTCCTTGCCACTGAACCCCTGTCAGAAATGAAAGTTCTGCCCCAGGGGTGGGAGTGCGTGGGAGGTGAGGCGTAGGGAGGGGTGGTGGTGTTTGGTATGGGTCAGACTAGGATTTCAGGGGTTTGGGGTTTCACTTAAGTACAAGGGAAAATAGAATTAAACAACAATGAACTCTATGATCCATTTGTAGTTAATTTTTATATAATGTATTTTATATAAGATATTAAAATTTTAATTTCATATGGTATATTGAATTATATACTATATTATATATTATGTTATAGGATATTATATTCCTATGTTCTGTTATATATTATACTATATATGCTATTTGAAAAAAAAAACAATGATTTTTTTCCCCTACACATTTGTGAAGCCTCTTTGCAAAACTCTCAAGGTTAGTGTTATAATGAAGTGAAATAGGAATTTTATTCTGGAAATAAGGCCCACCACCAAAGGATAGCCTGCAGTCAGGCTTTTTCTTCTCTGCAAATAAATAAAAAAAATCATGATGGGTGGCTTTTCATTTAATAGAATTTCATGCCCTTGATGCAGAAGGGCCCAGACCACATGGCTTCAGCTTCATAAAAGGGTTTCATAGCAATCCATGATGTGTAAGTCATGATGTGTTGGTAATTTGATTGTCCTCTGAGCTCTGTGATTTTGACCACAGTGGCCTCTCCTAACCATTCGCAGACACAGCTAGCAGGGCACCCTGTCTCATTGCCACCCTCCTCTGTGCCCTCAGCCTCGCTCCAGAGCTCGAAGGCTCTGGCCAAGTGACAGCCCGCCAGGACCTTACAAAGGCATCTGATTTATATCGCTGACCATTCAATCCCCTCCTCACCTGAGCCGGGGGAGAAAGATGATGTGTTCTACCCCATGACGAGTTACAGTGTTGGACCCCCCCAGGGGCAGTCCTCCCGTCCTGCAGGGTAGCCATCAGTGAGTTTGGTTTCTGGGGTTACCCTGTGTCATTTCAATGCCTCCATACTACCTGCTCCTCCCCCATCTCTGTGTCCACCTGGTCATCGTAAAAGAGAGTGGGACGTTTCACACCGGAGGCGCCATGACAGGGTGTGGTACTGGGTTTGGTGTGGTGGTCCCTTCACCATGTGTAGTGCCTTCCTGGGGTTCCCGTGTTTCCCCTGAGAGTGGTCCTTTGCAGAAAGTGCTTAGCAGAAAGGGCAGAAGTCAGACCACATTCAAATGTTTCTCCAAACGCCTTCTTTTCTCCACTCAGAAGGGCCTGAGGGCTTTACTCTCTCTCTCTAGATTGTTGGCCTGCACACCAACATCGACTTCCTCCTCAGCCTCTCCGGCCACCCCGAGTTTGAAGCTGGGAATGTGCACACAGACTTCATTTCTCAACACCACGGAGCTCTGTTTCCCACTAGGAAAGCCACGGCCAAGGAGTTTTTGTGCCAAGCAGCCCTGGGCCTCATCCTCCAGGAGAAAGCCATGACGGAGGCTTTCAGACTTCAGACGCAAGGTGCGGAACGCCTTTTGCTTGCCGTGTCTTTATGACACTGCATTAAACGTGCTTGTCTTCCTTAGTCCCCAGTGCTTCTTCCAGCAGTTGACACCGTTCTCTGCTCACATTTGTGTTGCTTTGTTTTCTGTTTGAAGAAGACTGCATATCCTGGCTGCACCCATAAACCCTTTCTATTAAATATGACCAAATATATCACCTAACTGTGTAGAGGGGGGTTTCTTTTCAGGCAAACACTGGTTCTTTCCCCAGTCCATACTGCCCCTGCCGGCTTCTTTTGCTTGCTCCTCCCCAAGTTACCCACTGGAAGTGCACCACGGTCCTTGGTCTTGAGCACTGGAGAGACTCGGGTGACCTTGAGCTCACCATTATTGACTGCTAAGCTGCTCTCCCCTCTCATTCTGAAACCTTGGTCCCCATCCTATGATTGAATTGTCAGCCTAGAGACCTAGGCACGTGCTTGTATCACCAGATCTGAACATAGAAGGAGACACAGCACAGATTCTTCTTGGCTACTAGAGAGATGCCTCTCCCCCTTAACTAGAGAGGTCTCTCCCCCTTAACTAGAGAGATGCCTCTCCCCCTTAACTAGAGAGGTCTCTCCCCCTTAACTAGAGAGATTCCTCTCCCCCTTAACTAGAGAGATGCCTCTCCCTTTAGTGTCCCCACCAAGTTGTGGCCCAGCCTCTTTGTTACACCGCAGGAAGCTGGAAAGTCATTACTTCATAAGGTAGCTTTGGTCAGCTCTGTGCGAGAAAGTCCCTCCCTTTAAATGGAACAAAACTCTGGTCTCTCCTGCACTTGCTCCTCAATGTATTTTTTGTTGGTCTCCATTGCCTTCAAGTCAGTTCCTCCTCATGGCCACCTTCTGTGTGGCGACCAGAACCACTCTGCCGAGTTTTCACGGCTGAACCTCTCAAGGTCTCCGTCTCCCAAGTTGCCTCTCGGTGGATTTGAACCACCAACCTGTGGCTCACCATGGAAGATTTAACCATTCGTACCACTCAGACACTCGTCAGATATATTTTCTCAGGTTAATCTGACCTCTGGCGCAAACGGGGTGGGGTGGGGGAATACCCCAAACACATTGATCTTTCTGTTGTCCAGGAACTTTCTTCTCTCAATTCACTCAATAGAGCATTACTGAGAACTCCAAACGGGCAACTCTGCTTGGAGGCTATTTGTGCTCTAGCCTCATTTTACCCTCCACCATGAAGTGAGATGCGGCTAAGTACATGCCGTGTAGTGTTTCTGCGCCTGCACGTAGCAGTTTTAATGCGGAGCATCTCTGACCTTCCTTTTTCTAAATGGACAGCTGGCACAGATCGGAGTTTCAGAATTTAGTTTTGCTGTAGCTCCTGAATGTTGGCCAAGAGGCCACCTACCCTAGAAAACCTGTCAGGCTCAGGCATCTTCAGAACCAAAAATCATATCATTGTGAATGAGGGGGAGTGGGGAGTGGAGACCCCAAGCCCATTGTTAGGCCACTGGAGATCCCCTTACAGAAGGGTCTCAGGGAGGAGACGAGCCAGTCAGGATGCGATGTCACAACAATGAAACATACAACTTTCCTCTAGTTCCTAAATGCCTCCTCCTCCCCCACTATCATGATCCCAATTCTACCTTGCAAGTCTGGCTAGACCCGAGGATGTACACTGGTACAGATAGGAACTGGAAACACAGGGAATCCAGGGCGGATAATTCCTTCAGGGCCAGTGGTGTGAGTGGCGATACTGGGAGGGTAGAGGGAGGGTGGGTTGGAAAGGGGGAACCGATTACAAGGATCTACATGTGACCTCCTTCCTGGGGGCGGACAACAGAAAAGTGGGTGAAGAGAGATGTCGGACAGGGCAAGATATGACAAAATAATAATTTATAAATTATCAAGGATTCGGGAGGGGGTGGGGATGCAGGGAGGGAGGGGGAAAATGAGGAGCTGATGGCAGGGGCTTAGGTGAAGAGCAAACGTTCTGAGAATGATGAGGGCAATGAGTGTACAAATGTGCTTTACACAATTGATGCATGTATGGATTGTGATAAGAGTTGTATGAGCCCCTAATAAAATGATTAAAATAATAATATTAAATAAATAAAGATTAAAAAAAAGAAAGAAAGAAAAGAAAACCTGTTGGGCTTGACCAGTCCCACGAAAGAGAAAAGAGGCCGTGGACAGCAACATCATGAACGAAAGCGCGTTTGGTGACCAGGATTGTGTTTGTCCTGTCAAATAGGGCAACCACTGTACACTTCCTGACACCAGAGGTTGAGCAAGCATATTGGTTGCAACCATTCTGATTTTTCAAGGGATGCTGGGGCTTTTTGTAGAGAATTTCCCTGAAGGTAGTGAAACTACCTATGTTTAAAATAACAAAAAGGACAAAGAAAACACATGTCAGCTACCAGTTTAGGGCTGGTATAGGCTCCTGTTGTGTTTTCTTTTGTAAGTTAGATGTTTCAGGGGGAGCCGGGAGAGAGAGGGGAAAATGAGGAGCTGATGCCAAAGGCTTAAGTGGAGAGCAAATGTTTTGAGAATGATGAGGGTAACGAATGTACAAATGTGCTTTACACAATTGATGCATGTATGGATTGTGATAATACCCAATAAAATGACTAAAATAAATTTAAAAAAATTTTTAAGTTAGAAGCTTCCTAGGTTTCCTGGGCAGTAAATTTGTTCTTGAATTCTCATTGTTTTCTAGATCCATGGTCCCCATTTGCATCTAGCAGCGGACGAAGACTGAATGTCTGTTACACCAGACACGTAACTCTGAAGGATGGTAAAACCAGTAAGTCATGCTTTGTTTACAGAGAGCTAGGATTAATATGATGCATCACATGTACCTGAAAAGTGGAAAAAATATTTAGCCTGATCATAATCAAATATATATATACATATATATCTGTATATATATGTATGTATGCATGTCTGGCCTAAACCTTGGGAGGGAAGTTGACAAAATAGCAGAATTGGTGGCTCGGGGTGTTTTGCTTCCCTCCTTCATCCTTGTCCTGCGTCTTTGCAGATGTACTTAAACATGTCATAAGACACACAGGTATAAGACTGACGTGAGCTGTGCCGAAGTTCATGTGGTTACTATTGGGCCAGGGGGTTCGAGGCCATCTCTTCCCTCCCCCCATTTCATTTTACTTTGCTTTGCAGTTTTTCTATGAGAATGCATTGACTTTTCATTACAAAGGGGGAAAAGATACACAACTGTCAGAGAGGGAGGGAGGGTGACCCACCAAAGAGACCAAGAGCCTCGTCACCTGTAAATCAGTGTCATTACAACCAGCTAATGAGGAGGGGTCACTGCTGTCCCCACCTGTGGATGAGGGGGCGGAGGCACAGCGATGAAAGGACTCACTCCAGGCCAGTTAGTGGCAGAGCCAGGACTAACACCCACTCTCTCAGGCCTCGACTTCCCTGCTGCTTCCACCAGTCCATCAAGTGGAACATTGATTCTTGACTGCAAAATCATTTGAGTCAGGACTGATTTATTTTAAGTCAAGTCCGAAGAGACCCCTCCCCCCCAAGCCAGAAGGCAGCCTGTTCATTTATGGTTGGACCAGTGTGCCCGGGGGACCCAACTCCTGAGAGCTGTGTTCTGAGACTGTGTCCGTTCCTCGGCTGGACAGTGAACGTGACAAGCTGGGTAGGCAGAGTCAGAGCCAGAAGTGCTAACCACCTTGCAGGTGAGGCCTCACTATGCGCTTGCTCCATCATGGCAATGTGCCAAACTCTCCTGCCAGCCGACCTGGGCACCCTCCTCCCTGGACACAGGAGGATTTTCTTGACCTCAGGATGTTTACGGGTGTCTTGTCAGGGACAAGAAATCTGTAAGGAAGAGAAAGCAAGTCCAGTTACCCTATACCATAGTGGGTGGGTGGGGCATGGGACTGAGCATTTTCCTGGACATGCCTTTACCATGATTCGCCTGGTACCCGCATCAGTGACAAACTTTCTGAATTGTGTAAATTGAGAGAAAGCTCAACTGATATAATTTGAGGCCTCTTCTCTTAGAAGGGATTTTGGACCATACTGGGTAGAAAAATTCTATCACTGTACGTTCAGTACAGTTTTGCGATGTAGCTATGCTGAGGGGTGGGGCTGCCTTGTTTTGGGTTTCTCTCTGAAGGAACGACCCTTTGGCAAAGGAGAACTGTGTGTCTCGGGGACAGATGGAGACTGTGGGTTCAGCTCCGGACGCTCTTCTTCTCAGTGACTCGAGGGCAAGTCAGGCGTCCAGTGTCCAGGACCATAAATGGGGGTGGTAGGAGCGACTACTTCCCGGGGAGTAGGTGAGACAACACCCACGGAAACGTTCAGCTCACGAATAGAGCATATGGTTAGCAAATCAGTAAATGTCGGCTACTGTCATCATTGTCATCACCGTTATTATTAAATTATATCCCCTGAGAAGTGTTGTACGAGGGGGAAATTGATGTACATAAAATCAAAACTCACTTGCCATCAAGTCAATTCCAACTCACAGCGACCCTAGAGAACTGTCCCCGTCAGTTTCCGAGACTGTAACTTACCTATGGGAGTAGAAAGCCTCATCTTTCGCCCAAGAATCAGCTGGTGGTTTCAAACTGCTGATCTTATGGTTAGCAGCCCAATGCACAGCCACTCTGCCACCGCTGCTCCCAGATCTACATAAGAGGGCTTTAGAGAGTCTGTGGAAGAATCCCATTGTTGTTTAGTTCCATGTTGCATGATCATTTTAAAAGGTTGGCTGCAATACGTATAGCATAATGCTACGCTGATGGAGACAATGTGTATTTGAAGGTGTGCTTTACAAGGTCTGGATGAGGAGTCAACACTCAGAATATATTCAGAACTCCCACAGCTTAACAATAGAAAGACAAACAATGCCATCCAAAAACGGCAGAAGATTTGAATAGACATTTCACCAAAGAAGAACTGCAGGTGGCCATGAGCACCGGAAAGATGCCCAGCATCCTTGTTGTTAGGGAAACGCAAGCCCAAACCACATGGAGCTCTCACCTCCGGCCCAGCAAGATGACGGATGGAAAGAAAAGGAAACCACAGGTGATGGCGGGGATGTAGAGAAACGGCTGCTGGTAGGATTGTAAAGTGGCCCCTCTCCTGTGAGAAACACAGGTGCACATAGCACTTCTGTACCGTCCAGCAGCTCTGCTTGTAGGTAAACCAAACCCAACTCACTGCCATCAGGCCACTGTGGGCTCACAGCAACCCCCGGGGGTGTTCCCAGACTATCACTATTTACCTGAGTAGAAAGCCCAGTCTTTGGCCTGTGGAGCTGCTGGTGGTTTCAAACTGCTGACCATACAGATCGCAGCCCAACACATAACCACTACACCACCAGGGACTTACTTCTAGGTATATGGCTGAAAGAATTGAAAGCAGGAATCCAAATAGATACTTATCCACCAGTGTTCGTTTCAGCACTGTTCACAGTAGGCTGCTTATCTGCCAATGAATGAATGAATAAAATGTGATCTGTACAGACAACGGAGTGATCCTGGCCCACAGAGAGGACCGAGGTCCTGATAGTTGCTGTAACACAGATGAAGCCTGAAAGCATCATGTTGAGGGAGATTAGATACTCGCAAAAGGACAAACATCACATGGTCCTGTTGCTGTAAGAAATGGAGAATAGGCAAGTATCTAGAAACCAAGGTTTATTAATGGTTGTGAGCGGGGGTTAGAAGGAAGCGGGGAGGGGATGTCATTGTGTAGGAAATAGACAGTATGTATTAAGCGTGATGGAACAAATTGGAAATGGGTCATGGTGATAGTTGAACCACATGGTGAACATCGTTAATGTCACTGGATGGGACCTGCAAAGCGTGTTGGAATGGAAAGTGTTTTATTGCAAATATGTTGACCACAATGAGAAAATAAAAAAGGTTGGGAGGGGCTTACACACTCAAGTGCTCGTAGCAGTCACCCCTGAGCAAGAGGGAGATGTTCCATGGTTGATTTTATCTGCTCCAGTATCTGACTTGTAAGCATTTTCCGTTGTATAAATAAAAATAAACCACCGCCGCCACCACAACAACAAAAATACAGGAATAGAAGTCTTTGTTACAAAGCAGGCTCAAGGAGGCCTATTGGTGGCTTATGTGCTGCAGCGGACTCTTCGCCTAACTATGAGTGGGACGTGCGTGGAAGAGGGGTGGGGTTTCAGTGGGTGTGAAGGGAGACCAACACGGAGGCAGGGAGGAGCATGGTAAAGGCACAGTGAAGGAAAGCTAGAGCAGTCAGGGAGGGAGGTGAAGCGGTCCATTTTCTCGTTGAGTTGGATCGTAGGAGCACGGAGGGAGACGGTGAGAGAGAAGAATGAGACATCAGGGCCTTCAATCCCAGGCCGAGGATTTTGAGTGTGATGGAGTCCAGTGTGGTAGAACGCGTCAGCTGGAGGGGTGAAGACAGGTCGCAGGAAGGCAGTGAGTCTGCATCATCGCGTAGAGCAGCGGGAGAGGAAAGGACGAGGTGCATAGACATGGCAAGCAATGGGGGAGACAAGACTGCCAGGCCTGACGCCTGCCTGCATGACTAGGAGAATCACTGCCAGCCGAGGGGCTCCCAGGAAGCAGGTGGAAGGGAGTGTGGCTTGTTGGACCCACCATGTTGGTTTCAAGTTCAGTGGCTCTTGAGCTCTGAAGGAAGGAAGATCAGGGCTTTGGACTCAATTGAGCTGGCAGCATCCCAATGATGGTTCAAGAGTCAGGAGCAGACGAAGGGCCTCTTTCCCACCAATCTTTTCATTTCCACCTCTCAGGAGAGCCTTCAAGAGTCCCTGGCTGACATAATCTATTCCAGATCCACTGGGAAAGCATGAAGAATTCCTTCTGTTATTATAGTTCCCGTGGCATTTTCGCCTTTAGTTAATCATCATTGCACTCACATATCCTTCTACTGACGCCAGAAATCAAGGCTCAGCGTTTCAGAGAGCGGTCAGGACCACAGAAGCAAATCATGCCATCGATGGCAGATTTGTGTCTCCCATTGCTTGCATTTGCTATTTCAACACTGCAGTTTTTCTTGTTGAGGAAAAAATATCTAATATATGCTACAACCTCGAAAGATCAGATTGAAAGTGATATTTGGGGGATCCCAGTTCTTGAATCAATAAATGTCTTCTCATTTTTCTTTAACTTTTTCACCTTTTTTCCCCTCCTGTGAAGACGTAGCCATGGCTGTAACCTATAACCACGATGGGTCGTACAGCATGCAGGTAAGCGCTCTTGATTTCATTCTACATTCAGAGCTAACGCTCACCTCTCTCCTGCTAAGGAGGGTCCTTCGTGCTTTCTGGTTTCTGGTAAGCCATCCAGGATAGTGACCGTACCTGGAAAGAAGTCTTGCGCTTCTGTCTCAGAGCAGCTTGAAGACGTTACCTCAGACACAGTTTCTCGCTGAAATTTGACTTACTCTGTTTGGCTGTGACTGGCTCAAGCATCAACACTTGGCAAAAATAACAGCCTTGCCAAAAAAAGAATAACCAAGCAAGCCTGGGAAGTATGTGTGTGACATCTAAGTGGGGGAGTTCTCAAACAGCTTTACACTCTTAAAAATTATCGAAGCCCATGTGAGCTTTTGTTTATGTGAAATTGAAAGGATACAAATTGAGACCTGAGACTCCATTTTTGTGAAGTATTGAGACTTCACGAGCCCACATTCTATTAGCCATCAGAGCAATAATATCACATGTCCTGCACCTCTAGAAATGTCCATTGTACAGAATGAGGGTTAAAAGGGCAAATAATCACTTAGTCTTGTTATGAAAATACTTCTGACAGCGTGGAACCCCCCCTAAAGCAGCGGTTCGCAACCTGTGGGCTGCAACCCCTTTGGTGGGCAAACGACCCTTTCACAGGGGTCACCCGATTCATAACAGTAGCAAAATTATGGTTATTTAGGAGCAATGAAAATAATGTTATGGTTGTTGGGGGGAGTCACCACAACATGAGGAACTGTATTAAAGGGTCACGGCATTAGGAAGATTGAGAACCACTGCCCTAAAGGGTCTTGGGAGCGCTAAGGATCCTTAGATGATGCTTTGAGGACTTCTGGTCTAAACTCTTAGGATATTCTTCAATTAAAAGAAGTTCATTTTGCTGTTGGGAAGAAACGCCAAAAAGGTGGAGACACAGTGGAATTACTCAGCTGGATCCCCGTGGTCAAGGGCAAATTCAGGGACGAGGCTATACCACTGTTTGAGCTAAGAGAGTCCATAGCCTCCTTGCCAGGTCTTAGACCTCCCGGCCCTGGTGGACACACGTGTTTCCATCCTCTGGAAGCTCAGCTTTGCCACCTGACTGTTTCCATTCCTCTTGGTGGCCCTGGCTTGGGGATGCCCTTGTTCCCAGGTCAATGGTTTTTGACGATTAAAGATCAGTGCGAATCTGCCCCGGAAACCACATTCCTACCTGCGGCATGTGCTTTTGTAAACCTGCGAGGTTCACAGACCTGCAGATGGCTGCCTTAGTGGGTTCCAGAAAGAAGTAAAACTTCATATTTAACTTCGAATAGGGAAAGAGCCGATGGGTAAACACTGCTCTCCCCCATAAAGACTGGCCTATGTCCCCTTAGTCTACATTACTGAACCACAGGACGACAGGGGGAAATGGTGCACAGGGCAGATGTGTGTGAGAGAACTTTGTTCTTGAGTGGACAGGCGAGAACCCGTTCCTTCCAAGGAAAAGATTTCCTGTCCTCTGTCAGCTTCCTTGAGAGGTCAAGTGTGAAATCTGTTCTTGGCACTCTCGTGACTAAAATGAGAGCGAGGATAAAAAATACGGCCAGTCTTCTAGCTAATTTATGTTTTTCACTGAAAGCCAGGGAATTGCATCTCCGTGTTGGTGGGATAAAGGAAACCACTTCGTGATGAGCTTCTGGCCGCGGCACCGGAAAGCCAAATCCAGGGAGCACCCAGAAGCGAGGGCTAATACGTCAGACGCTCTGCTGAGTGTATATTCTGCCGATGTACTTGGGTCTTTACATCACATATTTTAAAACTGCTGTTCCTCCTATTCTCAGATGAAGCTGTTCCCAAAGCAGTGCAGTACTGTGGATGTGTTACGTCACTCACCGTATAGACTTGTGTAGAAGCTGAGTTTTGTCAGCACATTTTTAATCTAGTTTTTATGGTCAAACTAGGCACCTCGGCTGATATTCAGGTCAGCTTATACTCAAGTCTATACGGTAAATTATCCAACAGGTGTTTCTCTGTCACCTGTTCGCTGTAGGAACCAGAGGGGAACGTTTTATGTGGCGATATGTTGAATATTTGCCTGCAACCTCATGAAACAACCGATCCTAATGAAGAACTGCTCCTGATGTGACGGATTTTGCCGGCTTGGTCATTTATCCTAAGCGTCTGCTTGTTCTCCACGTTCAGATTGACGACAAGACGTTCCGGGTCCTTGGGGATCTGCAAAGCGAGGGAGGCTGCACCTACCTGAACTGTTGCGTGGACGGGGCTGCCAAGAAAGCCAAGCTCATTATCCTGGAAAACACAATTCACCTCTTCTCCACGGTGAGGCCTCCCTTTCTAATCCCGTTCTTGGGGTGTGGGAGCAAATTGCCACACTCGAGGCTTCCTCCTAAGACAGGCGGAAGGCTCCAGCTTCCCCTGACTCCCACGGTGACCACGTGCTCCCTCCCTGCCCCTCGCCACTGGGTGCCTCTCTGCTACATCCCTGCCCTTCCTGTTTCTCCATTGGCCCGCTTTGTTCACGCAGATTCTCCCCGGCCCACACGTATCCAATTTCTTCTCCTCGTTCTGCGACGAGGTGTCCTCCCACTCTTTGTCAGAGCACATCTCCCTGCTCAGTGGAGGCCATGCTCTCAGAGCTCGGATGCCTCAACTACCACCCTGCGGACACTGGGCACCCTGGGGCTTGGGGAGGAAGTGACCGGTGGGAGAGGAGTCTGGAACAGATGTTCCTTGAGGGGTCGAGTGGTCCAAAGGCAGGTGGCATGGTGCTGGGCTCCTGGCAGCCGCACCAGGGTCTGGCCAGGCTCGGTGTGGGTTTGGCTAGGAGACAGGATCCTAGACCCTTGCTTGCAGGGGGCAGCCTGTCCCTCTAGAAGTCTTTGGCTTCTGCACAGTGAAGAGAGAGTGGATGGTGACGTGCACTGTGGCCGCTTTGGGGTCTTCTCAGATCAGCCTGTTTTGTGAGCAGGCATCAGGAGCGTTTTCATCACTAAGCTCCTTCCCGTGGCGTCCAGGCTGGCCTCTCTATGGAAAGAATCGCTGTCTATTGCTGGTTATGTCACCACAACACGATGGCCCGAACCATTGAGTCCGTGTCAACTCCTACACTCCTACAGGACCTAGTAGAACTGCCCTGCAGGGTGTCCAAGGCTGTAATCATTACAGAAGCAGACCACCACATCTCTCTCCCGTGGCAGTCCACGGCACTGGAACCACAGCCACAAGTGGTAACCACTAGGCCACCAGGCTCCTTCGAGGCAGTGGAGTGTTAAGAGCATGGAATGCAGCTGCTTTAGAATCAATCCAGGCCATGTGACCTTGGGCCAGTCAAACTCCCTGTGCTTCCGTTCTCCCCTCTGTACACTCGAGTGGCAACAGTGTTGCCCTCCTAGGGGTATTATGGGGATTCAATGCCATAATCTTGATGTGTGTCAAGAAGAATGATTCCTGGCACAGGCTAAGCACGTGATAAATGCGCACTACAATGTTGTTGTCATTAGGATGACCAGGAGGATGCTACTCAGTCTGCCTTCTAGCAGAGGCTGGGAGGGATGTAACTGTAGAAGAGCCCCTGCAGACAGCTCTCGAATCTGTATGTGCATCCGAGCTGTTAGTACAGTTCGTCCCGAACATCAGTCAGTCGTATGTTTGTCATAGGAGAGAGTGAACCTTCCACACAGAGAAAATGTTCAAGAAACACTTGCAGATGCACTCAAATGACAATGCAGTGAGATAGGTGGGAGGGGGGAACATGCGCTAGAATGATTGTGATGATGTATATACAACCCTTTTGAAAGGCACTTAACTATGGAAGTGTATAATATGTGAATTTTCTATCCATAGCACTATTTGGGAGAAAAGATCTATAGTAATATAATAAGGGTGTTTGGTGACCAATCCAAAGTACCACCCATTTGTTATTATTAACCATTTTGGGTACATCAAAATGTTTAATAGCCTAGGCTTGGGACAGGGGCAGGGGTTGTACACTACAGTTGTATGTGAACCAGATAGTCATAAACCAGAGACTCCCTGTACCCTTTATCATATCAGTTCCCGATAAGGCATGTACATGGCGGCTCTTCTGCCGGGGAAGTCAGGGCTGAGGGGCTTGAGTGATCTGCTCAAGGTCAGAAAGCTATAGTAGAACCTCGCTGGTTCAAGCTACGTTCCAACCTTGGTTACTGTCCTCAGCTGCTAACAGACAGGCTGGAGATTTGAATCTACCCAGAGTTGCCTCAGAAGAAAGTTTCACCTTCTTCTACTTCTGAAAAAGCCAGCCTTTGGAGCATAGATCTACTCTGACCGCTCTGGGGTGGCCGTGCATCAGAACCAACTCAATAGCAGCTGTTACTTCACTGTGTGTGTGTGTGTTTAGAAGCTACTTAACACACTGTTTGAAAGCAATCTTTACCTCGGGCATCTTAATAAAATTACAGTGATAGGATGTGGACTCCATGGAAGGTTTGTTTTCTGTTCCTAGGAAGGAAGTGTTCAGATTGACATCCCAACTCCCAAATACTTGGCCTCAAGGTCTGAAGGAACTCAAGGAGGTACCACGGCTCCCATGACTGGGACCATTGAAAAGGTAATGAGTCACGTGATGTCTGTGGAGTAACAGCCAATAAGGTTTAGTCACTGGCCTTGTTGACCTTTGTCCTGTAGATGTTCTTTCAAACCCTCCCTAAATCTCCGGTCTTTGGAGAAGGACGTGTTAGGGACAGTAGCGGGGCAGCCATGGAGAGGAAGCTGTCCAGGAAATGGATTGACACCAGGGCCACAACAACGGGCTCGGGCACAGGGACACTTATGAGGGTGACGCAGGATCAGGCCGTGTTTCGCTCTTTTGTGAATGTGGTTGCTATGGGTCAGAGCCAGCTCGGCGGCCCCTAAGAACAACACCGATCTACTCTAGAACAGCATCCACCTCCAGAAAAAAAAGATCTATTATAGAGTCACAATTTTTAAAGTAGAGGATCTATTACAGATTCACATTTACATTATAGTCTTCGATGATAATTCAAGAAGATAATGCAAGCCTGATGGCGGCAGTGCATTAACAGGGAGCTGTCAGAAATTGAAGCGGATACAAGAGAGCATGTGGAATGAAGACTATCATGGCTGCCATCCGATGGATCTTGGATGAAGGCAGAGACTGCCCGAAAGATGTGTGCTTGTGTGTTACACGCATTCAACTGTGTGGGGTCATAGCAAAGCATGGATCGCCTTGGCAAGAATGGGAATGCTAGAGCACTCCATTGTGCTTATGTGGAACCTGAACATAAACCAAGAGATAGCTATTCAGACAAAGCGAGAGGATACTGCATGGTTTTACATCCAGAAAGGTTTGTATTCTTTCGCTGTGCTGCTTCAATCTGGTTACTGAGCACATCATCCGAGAAGCTGGACTGTATGGTGAGGAGCGGTATCAAGACTGGAAGAAAACTCACTAACTTGTGGTGTGCATATGATAGCCGTGCTTCCTAAAAATCAAGACAACTTGAACTACTTGCTGATGATCAAAGACAGTAGTCTTCAGGCTGGATTCCAGCTCAATGTAAAGAAACCGAAAGTCCTTACAACTGGACCGAGATCATGATAAAATTGAAGATCGAAGTTGTCAACGATTTCACTGTATTTGATCTATAACCAGTGCTCAAGGAAGCGGCAGCCAAGAAATTAAACAATGTATTCCATTGGGCCCATCTGCCGAAAACCTCTTTAAGGATTGAAGAGCAAGGAGGTCACTTTGAAGATGAAGGCCTGACCCAAGCCATGGTATGTTCAGTCAACCTCGTATGCATGGGGAAGTTGGACATTAAATAAGGAAGCCCAAAGAAGAAGAGATGCTTTTGAATGAACAGTGTTGATGAGAACATGAAAGGACCAGGACTGCCAAAAGAACAAACTCATCTGTGGGAAGAAGGACAGCCAGCATGTTCCATGCAAGTGAGGATGATAAGACTTCATCTCCAGAACTTTGGACATGTCATGTGATCAGGAGAGAGACTCATCCCTAGAAAAGAGTACCATCCTTGGAAGGTAGTGGGTGCATCAGAAACGAGGAAGACCTCCAGGAGATGGACTGACGCAGTGGCTTAACAATGGGCTCAAGCATACCAAGTGTGAGGATGGGGCGCCAGCCGGCAGTGCGTCCCTCTGTGGGACCCAGGGGTGCTCTAAATTGGAACTGACATCGAAGACATCTACCAGAAATAGCCGTGGAAATACCTATTTCCCTAATTTATGACCAAGACCGCTGTTTTTGAAGGTGAGAATTTACACCAAGGTAACATAATCCAGATGTTCTTAAATTGTGTATAAAATGGACCACTCACCTACCATCATCTAGGGTTTTTTTAAAAACTAATTATACAGCAAATGATTCTATCATAAAATAATGATATTTCCTCTAGTGTACATAGTTGCATCTGTGTTAAAATTTGAAAAGCCTGTTTTGGTGGAAAACAGTATAATTTAGTTTGGGGCATCATAATTTTTTTTCCCCAAAAAACCATTTTAGGGGGATCTAATGCAGATATCATGTCATGTAGTATATATTTAGAGCTGAGCTCTATACTTTCAAATGGCGATAGATAGATCCGTAGCCCCTTTGATACACTGTAACAGCCAAAACCCTTCCATGCATGTCACAAAGTTCAACTGTCTGTTCTTGGTACCAAAAAGGCCAGAGGAAGATTAGGAAAACATGTTGGTGGCCCCTCTGGTTATTTTCCTCTGGCCTGCTCCAGCGTTTGCATCTCCACTTGAGATATTGGCCTTGCGTTTAAAGGTGTAGCTTTTCTCTATAACTGGCCCTTCAGCCCAGACTATTGCTTTCATTGGGCTCTACGAAAGCATCATCGGCCACGGGGTGATGCCTGGGGCTCTCAGGGGTGTTTCTGATGGCTCACAGCTTGGGCTCTGCACATATGAAGCGTCGTCATCTTATCTGAGTAAAGTCCGATGGCGGTAGGGGTGGGAGTGGTGAGCTGGACAGGGCCATTGCTGCCAGCTGGATCGAGGCCTCCGGTTGGCACCAGCACATTCATTGAGTAGGCATGCGCTCTTGTGCCCCTGTAGATACCAGGTCGATGGACTGCTTTTAAAGACTAACGCGTGGCTCTGAACCTGCAGGTGTTGGTGAAAGCTGGAGACAGAGTGAGAGCTGGGGATTCCCTGATGGTGATGATCGCCATGAAAATGGAGGTGAGCGGAAGACGTCGCGTGGGCGGCTGCCGGGGACAGTGGGGGCCTTTCGGACCTACAAGTGTGTGCCTCTCTGATTTTAGGAGTTAGACCATTTTCAAAATGGGGGCCCTGGATGGATCAATCATTAACTTCAGGAAACAAACAAACAACAAAACAACCCATCCGTTTCATAAAAACATACATTTTGGTCTTTATCTTGAGAGCTCGCACTCTCACATCCATCGTGGCTGATTCTGAAGTCATCCGTGGCTTGGAACCCAGGAGCCCACCTGCGTGGTGGCTGTTGGGGTTTCTGAAGGCTGCGAAGGCTGCATCTGAGGCAGCTGGACAACACCCTCCCCTACTCCCACCAGACCCACGGCCACTGAGTCGATTCTGACGGTGTCAGCCCTCTGAAGCAGGGTAGAGCTGCCCCCCAGGGCGTCATCTTTTCCCTGCAGAACAGCTGGTGGGTTTGAACTCCGGTCCCTTCCATTAGCAGCGGGGTGCTTTAACCACTGTGACACCAGGACTCCGGCCAGGCATCAGAAGCGAGCCGCGGCAGTCCAGTGAAATCAGCTGAGACGTGAGTTGAGTGGCAAGGTTCCGCTGAGAACTAGCTGAGGCAGACCTTCCAACCCCATTGGCTGGGAATGGAACCCAGAATCGGATGTGCCAAGACAGTGCCTCTTCAGGCCCCCGGAGCATGCCATTAAAAGGGGAGATGGGGAGCCTGCTTTTCTGCCAGGGGCCAGTTGGATATGCATAACCTCATTCTCGGGCCATGCAAAATGATCAGTGAAAAAAATTAGCCTGCTGTCGTTGGCCAACCATTTCATGAACTGACCCCTCATGTGACGGTGTGGATGATTTGGTGGGCTGCAGACGGCCCAGAGCCAACCTCTCCCCAGCGCTGCCGTAGGAAAACATCCTGCGTCCCTTGAGTGCTCTGATGAAAAGAAAGTTGTAGATGAGCAACAATTGGCCCGAGGTCAGTCCAGCAGCCCGTTTGTTGCCCCTCTCTCCTGTCTCTGCAGCACACCATAAAGGCTCCAAAGGATGGCAGGATCAAGAAGATTTTCTACAGAGAGGGTTCCCAGGCCAACAGGCATGCTCCTCTCATCGAGTTTGAGGAGGAGAACCCTGAAAAGGGGGACTAGAAATAAACTCCGTGAAAGAAATGGCCAATGAAGAGGTGTCCGATCTCTCCGTGGAAGAGAACCTGCCTTTCCGCTCCTCCGGGAGCTCACCGATGGGTGCATTCTGTCACGTGCGTGTGCTAGAGCCTTTTCATACTGGTGAATCATGTGCTTGGGCCACAACTATTATGAATGATCTCACAATATTTCACATTAATAAAGTGGCATTACACTTAAAAAAAAACATATCGGGCACTCTTACAGCTCTAATAACAAACCATTCATTGACTAAGAAATTACACTTTCTTATCTGAAGTTCACATTTATTTTGTCTCACCTTTCATCCCATCTTTGAGGAGATGGGGGGGGACCCCCAAGATTGTAAATCTTTGTGAGAACAGACAGCCGCTTCTTTCTCCCGTGGTGAGTAAGGCTGGTGAGTCTCCACTGCCAGCCTGCAGTTCGCAGCCCCACGCCTGAAGCGCAGCTCCACGAGAACGCCTCTGCAAGAGAGGTGGCTGCTTAACTGGAGTTCATTTAGCTGAATTAATTATTCCTAGTTAATCAAGCTGAAAATTAATAGTAGCATATTTCAGAGACAGATGCCATAGAGCTAAACTCACCAACGTTTTGTTATCTCCCAGGCGTAAGTTAGTAGGCAATTAAATGATTTGTTTCTTGTCTGTGATTGGAAAGCTTCTGTCCAGCTTGCCGCTGCCTCTACTGAACTTTCTAAGCTGGTTAGAAAACATAGAGACATATTGTTTTATGTAGAAGTACCTGGATTTTTCACAATGTCCAGTAAAACCATGCACCCCAACTGAGTTGGGGAGTAAAGGTGGCCTTGAGCAGATCCCACCTGAATTTACAGACCATCTCAAGAACAGACTTGACGCATTCAACCCAAAGTTTCCAAATTTATATCGGATCTTTCGCCCCCCATCAGAAAAAAATAAAAATTACTCAGTAATGAAAAAGTCTGTATCATAACCCATAATCCAGGAAAACTCAGGCTTTTGCAGCCCCCTGGGTCATTCCAGTGCCCCTCAAGGGGAAGTATCTCCCACTCTGGGAAACATGACATTAAACTGGAGACTGAAGACAGACAAGCTGTGGGATATAGGAAACATTATATCTAAAGAAAGCAAGAGATTATGGAGGAAGCACTAGAACTGGTAGTGGTTGCACAGTTCATTTAAAAAGTGATTTAACTGGCTGATTGCTCTGAAATTGATTGTGGTAATGAATGTACAACTCTTCTTGATATGATTGAACTCTTGAATTGAGTGATATGTGGCTGCAGTGCCAATAAAGCTTTTATTTTTAAGCAAAAGGTTATTAAAAAGGAAAGAAAGAAAGACCAAAGTGGATATAGGAAGACATTCTGAAACTTGCTCTTGAGTATAAAGTGCATAGGAGAAAGGACGTAGCAAAATTGAACCAAAGATTTCAAAGAGTAGCTTGAGAAGACAAAGTATTATCACATGCAAAATGCATACTGGCATTTGAAAACCAAAGGTAAAGTATATAGTTGATATATCTCAAGCTGAGAGGATTACAGAAAAAAATTCAAGCCTCCAGTTTCAACACTGAAAGAGTCTATGGGCAAAACATTGACTGAAACATCAAAAGAAGATGACGACTCAAGACAGAAAGAACTGGTTGATATCCAATCTTTAAAGAATTAGCATATAGTCAGGAACCTGTGTTTTACTGGCTCTACTCATACTTATTAGAGCATGTGGATTATAATAAAATATGTATAAAATTGCAAAGAATAGGCATTCCAGAACACTTCATTGTACTCAGGAGAAACCAGTCCGTAAACTAGAAGGAAGTTGTTGGAAAACAGCAAGGGGTTAATGTGTGGTTTAAAATCAGGGCAAGTGTCATGATGCATTCAATTCTCTTACTGAGCAAATCGTTTGCGAAATTGGCTCATATTGTGGCATCAGGATTGGAGGAAGAATCAACAGCCTACAGACGCAGATGGCACGACCTTGCTGAAAACCAAGTGGAATTGAAACACTGAGTAAGGCAAAAGACCACCCCCTCAGTGTGGAATACACCTCACCAGTAAGTAAACAAAAATTCTCACAATTGGACCAATACGCATCATGATAAATGGAAAAAAGATCGAAGTTGTCAAGGATTTCATTTATATGCATGAAAGTGGAAGTCAGGAAATCAAAGGACAATCACATTGGGCAAATCTGCAAAAGATTTTAAAGCATTAAAGAACAAAGATATTGCTTTGAGAACTAAGGTGTGCCTGACCCAAGACATGTTCTGAATTGCTTGCTTCACATGTTTGGAAAGCTATACGAAGAATAAAGTAGAATTGGTATTTTGGATTATGCTATTGGTCGAGAATATTTTTTATACCACAGATTGGCAGAAGAATAAATCAAGTACATCCAGAAGGCACCTTAGAAGTGAGCATGGTGAGACTTCATCTGAATTACTTTGGACGAGTTAGCAGGATGGACCGGTCCCTGGCGAAGCACATCATGCTTGGTCAATAGAACCTTACCAGAAGAACGAAGGTCCCTCCACAAGGAGATTGATGTAGTCCTGGCTGCGCTTACAGAGCACAGTGCTTATCGGGGTAATGTTTCAGGGTCACTAGGATTTGCCACTGACATTAGAACACCTCACAACGAACAATGAGAGTAAGGAGGCTTTAGGGGGTCAGTGGTAGAATTCTTGCTGTCTGCGTACTTCTGAAAATCAGTCAAGGAAACCCCAGTGGATCACCACAGTCTGATCTGCAACCCATCCCAGAGACGGCATATGACCAGCACAGCGTTTGTTCAAGGGCAAGTTAATGGTCTGACAACAAATAGTGTGATGCACCATGTACTGGCTGCATCGGGGGCCAGGTGAATGGAGTTAAAAATGCTACTTTGGCTGGAGAAAGGAGGCTGAGGGAAAGGCAGTAACATCTGAACTGGGCTTTGAAGGATAGCCATTTGCCAGATGGGCAAAGAAGGTGGTGAGGGCAGCCCCTTGTGCCAAGAGGAACTGGCAGGGGCTATTAACAGTTTATCTGCAGCTGAAGCTTCCTGCTACCTCATAAAGCGGGGGATGGGGTAGGAAGGAAACCCAGTTCGAATGCTGTCAAGATTAAATCTCACGCACTTCCCTAGGTGAGCCACATGTAGTACATCTGGAACCAGACGCCACTTTGGATGAGGCTCACACACAACACGGTCTCTGAAGTCAGTTTAAATAACAGGCTCAGAAAGGACTGCCTCTGTTTTCCCTTAGGGTACTCTGTGTTAAGACAAGTAGCAACAAGAAAGCACTCTCGAGAACAAAGACAAGGCAACATACTCCCGCAAGTAGCTACTTAATTCCAAGTTGTTTCAGTCTTTGGGTAAACCTCTCTTAAAATTACTAAAGCCCTTCCCTGAACTCAATCCTGAAACACTTGCCTGCAGGGTTGTTTCTCCATCAGGACTCTTTGAGTCCAAGCATCCTCAACTTCGACCAAACCCAAACCTCTGAAACTTTGAAACACTCATCATTACTTGGTAAGAGGGGTGGGCCATCGCTAAAGAGCAGATTCATGGCACAGACGGTGACATGCAATTGTCGGGGATTCTTTAGCAAACCAATGTCTCTTTTTGAGTCAAATGTTTTAGGATCTTTAAGTGAGCAAGAGTGTTTTGCCTTGTCTGTTGTTGTTTTGAGAGAGTTGACTGTCATAACAGAATCTCATCATGAAAAACAGCCTACACTCACAGTCGATTCTGACCATAGCGACCCCAGAGGGACTGTAACTCTACGAGAGTGGAAAGCCTCGTCTTTCTCCCGTGGAGTGGCTGCTGGTGGTTTCGAATTGCTAATCTTGAGGTTGGCAGCCCGATGGTTAGCCTACTATGCCACTGGAGGCCCTGCAGTGATCTTACAAGCCTGTCATTTAAACTGACTTTAGACTCTAACGTTTAGAGAGTCAGGTGAGTCTTTGCCCACGATGACATCTGTTTACACCGACGGTTTTCATCTTGAGAGGATTTGATCTGCATTGCCTTTTTTTTTTAATTGTGAATTGAGTCAAGTTCTGTAGAGCAGATCAGTTCTCCATCCAGCAATGCACATACATTTTATTCCATGTCATTGATTACAGTCCCGACAACGTACCATCCCTTATCCCACTTGCTCTCTGTTTCCGGTTTCCGTTCCTCCTTTCCTAGCCTTGGAGCTTTGCCTTGGGTAAGTGCTGTCCCTTTGGATCTCCAATGGGTTACTATTCTAAGATGTATGTGCCTGCATAGTGTTGAGTAGACCTGTCTTGTTAGTTGAAAATTGAGCCGTGGGGGCAAATTCAGTTCCAGACCTAAAGAGTGACCGTGACCCGTAGTCTCCAGGTTTCCCCCAATCTGTGTGACTAGAAAGCCTGGTCTCTTATGATTTTTAATTTAGTTCCATATTTTTCTCCCATCTTATCCAGGACCTTCTAATAGGATCTCTTTCAGAGCCATTGGTAGTAGTGGCTGGGCACCATCTAGTTCTTCTGGTCTCAGGGTCATGGAAACTGATGTGTGCATGGTCCACTAGTCCATTGTACTGTTTCCATGCATCTTAAAATTTCCTCACTCTTTTTCCCTTCTTTGTTCAGGGAGAGACCACTAGTTTCATCTTAGATGGGCCACCCATGTGCTTTTAAGAACGATCACCACTCAGTAAAGTAGGATAGGACATTGTCTTTGTGGACTATATTATACCAGTTGACCTTGGTGTCCCCCAAGTCCATGATCCTGAGCCTCCAGGCCCAGTAGCTCATCCCCTCAAGGAGTTTGATTATGTTTAAGAAGTTTTCAAAACTTTACCCCTTGTATGCACTATCATATTCATGCATATATTTGAGGCAAAGGTACAAATATATCCTATCACACGTGTATGTAAATCAAAAACCAAACTCACTGCCGTCAAATCGATTCCAACTTAGGCGACCCTATAGGCAGGGTAGAATTGCCCCACCCCCAAAATGAGTTTTTGAGACGGTAACTTTTCAGAGGAATAGAAAGTCTCGTATTTCTCCCACAGAGCACTTGTCATTTCAAAGTGCTGGCCTTGCAGTTAGCAGCCCAGTGTCTAACCACACCACCACCAGGGCTCCCTGCTGTGCCTCTTTATTAGCCAGCACGTTTAAAGAATGAACTCGAGGGGGAAGATATTTTGATTGATTTAACAAGGCCTTGAAATGCCATGCCTCAAGTTCTTATTGAATTAGGTGTTATTCTTTCAAAGAATTCTTTTGATTTTATGACACTGATGGCAGTAATGGGCTGTTAACTATAAGATTGGAGGTTTG